TTCCAGAGTCAAATTACCTCCGTTTTCCTTGACGGGTATGCCTCCCGCTCGTCGCAGTGTCGCGACTTCATGTCTCGTGTCATGTGCCTTGAATGTCGAATCGCTATCGAATGGCCTTGATCAGGGTGCCTACTGTACGGAAAAAGTACGTAGAAACTTGAAAAGCTCGGATTTTGAAAGGTCGGTACGGAAGCACGCACGGATTTTTCGAGATAAATTTGAGGAAAGTGCCACGAAAGTATGCAATTTTTTATACATAAGTTATTATATGTACATCGATGGCCAATGTGCGAAAGCTCGTATCTTAATTGCGCTGTTCGAAAATCACCGCTCCAATTCCATTTTCTCGAATGGGAACAAGCCAACTTTATACCTTGAGTATTAAACAGAATATCCTGCTAACATAATTTAAAACAAATTACGTTGATTAGTTTTCCAAAGAAAATTTTAAGCCTGCAACGTCGGAAATAAAAATACCATGCGGCGATCGATATGACGTCTCGCAAAATCTTAGTTAGATCCTGCGTATTTCAGGTCATTCCCCCAAATTTCCTGCATTCATTACTCCAAATGTTTTCATGTTTTGCGAAAAATTTGTCCTTTTTAGTGTTTAAACTGCGTTTCTTGTCAGAGAAAAGTGAGAAAAATGGAAAAACCATGGAAGAAGCGTCAAGTAAATACCTACATTTTCAGACCAAGTGAATGAACCTATACTGTAACGTAAACTCGATGCCTTTGGTTAAGGATTCTGATCCTGACATTTCGCTCCATGTTCTGCGGAGCACAACTGTTTTATTAGGAGTCACAGCTACACGTCACACATCCACCATCTCAGCCGTGTTCAGCTCCCAAATCTCGAAATCTCACGCGGGACGCGGTTTAATTTGGTCCACGATTTCGCAACCGGCAACACACTTCTTCGTGCCACCGAGCAAACACAATGCAACGAAACGCGCTGGGATACAGGGTGATCTGAAAGTTCCGCACTCGGCATCACCCTTTGTAACTTCTGGACACTGTAAGAGAGACTTGAAAGATCGTTCGTGCTCTTAGCTCCTAGGTCAACGGAAACGACTTACAGGACCTCTAAAACTTATCCCCTCGAAACGGGGTAGGAGCCCCGTTAAAAGGGTGATGCAGGACTTCTGGATCACCCTGTGCAGAGATAAGTAGTGACAAGAGAGTTGAGTAATTGATTCAGTAAATCTAATCTAATTTGCAAAAAGTCACCTTTGAAAATGCTCGCCCTAATATTTATCAGTTGAACTACATTTTGCAATTACGAACTACAATTTCTGGCTCAGTTTAGAAATAACGTGTGGACCGTTAGTTTCCTTATGCACTTAAGTTCTTTTACGGATGAGCCAGAAATTGTAGTTTCTAATCGCGAAATGCAGTTCAGTCATCATTTGATGATTGCTCTTCGCAGCAAGTTGCTCGTAAATCATCACTAAGCGAGAAGTAACGTTACCTGAAACATAACCTAATTCTATTTCCTGGATTGTTAGTGCGAGTTATCTGAAATGTATCGTCCNTTGGCAATCTTCGTATCCTCGCGTATCATTACAGTACTTCTGCTTGTGTCGGGCTTCGAATGACCGTGTGCGTTCTGCCGTGGAAAGGAAAGATGTCTTATGAAGCCTCGAATGTTGCCGTACGTTTTCTGCAAAAGCTCGAATTCTCTGAAAAACCTAATAATTGTTTATCTTGAATTTTTCAGTAACCTTTATTCACAATTTGGACGTATTTCTACCAAACAGACCTATGTGGAGGTGAGAAATATGGGGTGTGCTTGTTAGTTCTCTTTGCGCAGGAGTGAATGAGAATAATAAAGCGCCAGTGACGTCAGCGGCAACGAAGAAGCTCCGGAACGACGGGAGGGTCGTTGGCGGGACTCTTTAACTCATGAGCCCTGTCCACAACGCTCTCTTGCCATGCCCGCGGCTCATGAGTTCCGCATTCAGTTGGCACATAGGTCTGTTTGATAGAATGTAATATGCCGCTTTTCCAATTCTTCAAAAGGAATCACGCCCACTTTTACATTGCTTCTTATGCAGCTTTCTAGAGCACACCCCATATTTCTCACCTCCATATAGGTCTGTTTGGTAGAAATACGTCCATTTGATCTAAAGTATCTGACAATTTCTTCGAAAAATATTCCCTACTATTTTCAAGAGCCAATTTTTTATCTGCAGAAATCTGGCATCATACGGTTGTTGATACGGCGTTTCCATTGCACGGTAGCAAAGCCGTCGAACCGCAAAGAATTTTTTATCCTCGGAAGAAAAAGAAAGAGGCAGCGTTGCCACTTTCGCGGAGAATCCGTCGATTTTCCCGTTAAAACCCATCAGGAAGAGAAGAATTTTACCCGTGAAATGGCAAAGCTTGTGAGAGCGATGCAGACGGTGTCGAATTCCGCACGAGGGCGAAGTGTCGGCCAAAGGGGGAGGGGTCGAAAAGGGGGAAGGGAAGGGGATGAAATAGGGCAAATTAGAGGCGTGAGAGGGTTAAATCGAGGGCAATCAGCCGGTAGCCGGTGCGGTGAGTGAAACTGCCACTTCCTGGTGAGCTTCCAGAGTCAAATTACCTCCGTTTTCCTTGACGGGTATGCCTCCCGCTCGTCACAGTGTCGCGACTTCATGTCTCGTGTCATGTGCCTTAAATGTCGAATCGTTATCGAATGACCTTGGTCAGGGTGTCTACTGTACAGAAAAAGTACGTAGATACTTAAGAAGCACGGATTTTGAAAGGTCGGTACGGAACTACGGAAAACGTACGAATTTTTCGAGATTCGAATTAGAAATAAACTTGGAAAATCACCTCGAAAGTACGCAATTTTCATACTATTCAATTTGCAACAAGAATATACCAGTTCAATTTTTATTCGAAGTTTTCTGATTTTAGCATGAGATCGCCTGTAGCAAGTTGGTTTCCAAGAAAATTGATATGGAAATATTTCTTATTCCATTTTTCCATGTCAATTTTTTATGGAAATCCGCCTCATGGAACATTTTTAGCAGGGCAGAAGGAAAATTTGTGAAATTTTCAGTTAGAAATGACTAGAATTCTCCCGATAAGAACATTAGTGAGGGGAAATTTGACAACACTGAAATATAGTTACGTGCTTTCATGAGGGGAGCATGGGGAGCAACGATGTGTCTTTTTCAGTGTTCAAAATGCATTTCAGGAAAGGGAAAAGTGGGGATAATGGAGAAATCACTGAAATCCTGTCAAGTGCATTAAGCCAAGTGAAGGAATCGGAACTGTAACGTAAACTCGATGTCTTTGGGTGTGGATTCTGATCCTGACGTTTTTTATTAGGAGTCTCAGCTACACGTCACAAATCCACCATCTCAGCCGTGTGCAGCTCCCAAATCTCGAAATCTCACGCGGGACGCGGTTTAATTTGGTCCACGATTTCGCAACCGGCAACACACTTCTTTGAGCCACCGAGCAAACACAATGCAACGAAACGCGCTGGGATACAGGGTGATCCAAAAGTTTCGCACCCGGCATCACCCTTGTAACTTCTGGACAAAGTGAGTGAGAAACTTGAAATTTTGTGTGTGCTCATAGTTCCTAGGTCGACGGAAACGACCTTTGGGACTCCCAAACTTATCCCTCTGAAACGGGGCAAGAACCCCAGGGGTTAAAAGGGTGATGCAGAACTTCTGGATCACTCTGTACAGAGATGAGTAATGACAAAAGGGTTGAGTAATTGATTCAGTAAATCTAATCTAATTTGCAAAAACTCACCTTTGAAAATGCTCGCCCTAATATTTATCAGTTGAACTACATTTTGCAATTACGAACTACAATTTCTGGCTCACTTTAGAAATAACGTGTGGACCGTTAGTTTCCTTATACACTTAAGTTCTTTTACGGATGCGTAAGGAATTGTAGTTTGTAATCGCGAAATGCAGTCCAGTCATCATTTGATGATTGCTCTTCGCAGCAAGTTGCTCGTAAATCATCACTAAGCGAGAAGTAACGTTACCTGAAACATAACCTAATTCTATTCCCTAGATTGTTAGTGCGAGTTATCTGAAATGTATCGTCCCTGCATCCATCTTTTTTCGACGCGTGTGCCCGAGGGAGCCAATTAGAAATAATGCATCCTCTCCTCGCTTTTCCGGCAATCTCCCGAAGCGAAAAGCCTCCTGGCACGATTTATTTCGAATCCTGGGCAGAAAGGCGACAACCAGGTCGGGGCGGAACTTCTTCTCAAATTGGGGGCAATCCACCCGCGCGTGCAACCCCGCCCCTCCCCTCTGGCAGGAGGAATTTCCCTCTCCCCGCGGTCGAAACGCGGGCGTCCGTTATGAAATATTGCCCAAAAATACCTCTCGGTCTCGGTTTCGATTTTGTTTACGCTCGAGATTCGATTTGCCGCCATTCATCTCGCTTTCCACCGCTGCGGCCTCGGACGCTAAACCGTGCGGCCGCAAACAGCCC